GTGCTGGTTTTATATATAATTTGAAATACTTTCATCAAACTGATTAATATAGTCTTCATGGCATCCTCTTAGTTATTGTGTTAAGACATTTATATTTTACATTTAGAAAGATTCACATGTACCCTTATAAGATGAACCATAGGTGTGGTCCCACCAATCACCCTCCCTCTACCCATCCCCTCCCCTTTCCCCATATTCTTGGGCTAAAATTGGGTTTTATCTTTCCTATGAAAGCTATAAATTAGTTTCTTAGTAGGGCTGAGTACATTGGATACTTATTCTTTCATTCTTGAGATACTTTGCTAAGAAGTATTTTCCAGCTCCATCCATGTAAACATGAAGGAGGTAGAGTCTCCATCTTTCTTTAGGGCTGCATAGTATTCCATGGTGTACATATACCACAATTTATTAATCCATTCATGGGTCAATGGTCACTTGGGCTTCTTCCATGACCTAGCAATTACGAATTGGGCTGCAATAAACATTCTGGTATAAATATCTTTGTTAGTATTTCAGGTTTGATATAAGCGTTTTGCTTTGCCACTCTTTAGAAATTAGACTGAATAACTTTTTTTTTGAGACAGAGTCTCACTCTGTCACCCAGGGTAGATTGTAGTGGTGTCACAGTGCACAGCAACCTCAAACTCTTGTGCTCAAGTGATCCTCTTGCCTCAGCCTCCTGAGTAGCTGGGACTACAGGCACTGGCCACAATGACCAGTTATTTTTAGAGATGGGGTCTCACTCTTGCTTAGGTTGGTTTCTAACTTCTGAGCTCAGGCTATCCATCCTCCTTGGCCTCCCAGAGTGTTAGGATTACAGGCATGAGCACCTGGCTGAATAACTTTAAATTTATTTGTATTTTTAAAAAATTCTGATTAATATGAAGGTAAAAATGATTAGGTAACATAGTTTGTGTTTCTAAGGTCAAGTTCAAGTTGTACTTGAGGCAGTTGAGCCCTTTATCCTGGGGGTGTGCTGTATAACCTTACAATGTGTCTGTCAGGTGAGAGCCTACCAATCTGTATTACTTCTTTAGTTACTAACGATCAAATCTACTTTGACAATGAATATTAACAATTTTTGTCTTTTTGAGACAGACACTCACTATGTTGCCTCAGGCTAGAGTGCTGAGGCTATCAGCCTAGCTCACAGCAACCTCAAACTCCTTGTGAGTTCAAGTGATCCTCAGCCTCCCAAGTAGCCAGGGCTACAGGCACTAGCCACAATGCTTGGCTAATTTTTCTGTTTGTACTAGAGATAGGGTCTCACTCTTGCTCAGGCTGGGATTGAACTCCTGAGCTCAAGTGATCCCGCTGGCCTCCCAGAGTGTTAGGATTACAGGCGTGAGCCACTGCACCTGGTAACAGTAAACTATTAACTAAAGTCCTTAATAGTTAACTGTTAACTAAAGTCCATAGTTTACACTGTAGCCCAATTTTTATGTTGTACACTCTTTGCGTTTTGACAAATACATAAAGACATATTACCCACTGCATTATCATCAGAATAGTTTTACTGTCCTAAAAAACACCTGTGCTCCACCTATTCATCCTTCTAGCCCTCATACAGAATCCCTCATCTTTTCTACTGAATTCATTCTTTTTTTTTTTTTTTTTGAGACAGAGTCTCAAGCTGTTGGCCTGGGTAGAGTGCTGTGGCATCCCAGCTCACAGCAACTTCCAACTCTTGGGCTCAAGCAATCCTCTTGCCTTAGTTTTTCTAATTTTTAGTAGAGATAGAGGTCTTGCTTTTGCTCAGGCTGGTCTTGAACCCATGAGCTCAAGCTATCCACCTGCCTTGGCCTCCTGAAATGCTAGAATTACAGTCATGAGCCACCACGGCTGGCCTGTACTAAGTTCATTCTTTTGGAATCTTAGAGTATGTACCTTTTCAGGTTGGCTTCCTTCATATAACAATATGCATCAAAGGGACACAACTGTAAAAGGAACTTTACCTAACAAATGTAAACATTGTAACCTAATCATTTGCATCTCATATTAATCTGAAAAAAAATGCGTTGAATTTTCCTCCATGTTCTATAGTGGCTTAATATTTATTTACTTATTTATATGGCAAAATCTTGGTTGGATGCCCTGACTAGAGTTCAATGGCATCATCATATCTCAATGCAATCTCAAACTTCTGGGCTCAAGTGAACTTCCTGCTTTAGCCTCTTAAGTAGCTGGGACAGCAGGTACATGCTACCATCCCAGCTAATTTTTCTTTTCTCTACAAATAAAAGAGACTGGGTTTTCCTTTTAGAGGTCAGGTTAGTCTTCAACTTCTGGCCTCAAGTGATCCTTTCACCTTAGCCTCCCAAAGTGCTAGGATTATAAGCATGAGCTACCTACCATTCCTGTTCAGTTCATTTGTGTTTATTACTGAATAGTACTCTAATTTTTTGAACATACTACAATTTGTTTATCCATTCATCTACTGAAGGACATATTCATTGCTTCCAAGTTTTGGCAATTATCAACAAAGTGACTATAAACATCTATGGGCAGATTTTTGTGTGGATGTAAATTTATTTGCATAAATAAGGAATGTGATTGCTGGATCTTATGGTAAGAATATTGCAGTTTGGGGTGGCACCTGTGACTCAAAAGAGTAGGGCACTAGCTCCATATGACGGAGGTGGTGGGTTCAAACCCAGCCCCAGCCAAAAACTGCAAAAAAAAAAAAAAAGAATATTCCAATTTTGTATGAAAATGCCAGTCTTCTTGGTGGTGTCTGTAGCTCAGTGGGTAGGGCGCTGGCCACATATACCAAGGCTAGCTGGTTCAAGCCTGGCCTGGGACTGCTAAACAATAATGACAACTGCAACCAAAAAAATAGCTGAGTGTTGTGGCGGGCACCTGTAGCCCCAGCTACTCAGGAGGCTGAGGCAAGAGAATCACTTAAGCCAGTGGTTTTCAACCTTCCTAATGCCATGGCCCTTTAATATGGTTCCTGTGGGTCATGATCCACAGGTTGAGAACCTCTGGCCAAGAGTTTGAGGTTGCTGTGAGCTGTGATGCCACAGTACTCTACCCAGGGTGATAGCTTGAGACTCTGTCTCAAAAATAAAAAAGTGCCAGTCTTCCAAAATGGCTATACCATTCTGCATTTCCATCAGCAATGAATGAGAATTCCTGATGCTCCACATTTCTGCCAGTATTTAGTGCTGATGGCTTAGAGGTTGTCTTCTTATTAAATTTAAGTGTACAGTATAAAACAAAACACTATTCACTTGTAAGACCTAATTTTTAACAGCAAAAAAAAAAATGTGTCTGTAATATATGAAGCAAAACTCTTTATTTTTTCTTTTTTTAATCCAGAAGTGAAATTTTTTTTTTGTCTTGCTCTGGGCATATTTCTTCATTTGTACCTCTACCACCATGGGCCTCACTTCCATATCCCCTTATAGGTATTTAATTGTCTTGTAAATAATCAAGATCTTGGGGTGGCTAAAGCTTGTAATCCTAGCATTCTGGGAGGCCAAGTTGAGCATAGCCCTTGAGTTTTGGAGCTCAAGACCAGCCTGAATCTGGGAGGACAAGGTGGGTGGATTGCTTGAGCTAACAGGTTCAAGACCAGCCTTAGCCAGAGTGAGACTCTGACTCTCAAAATAGCTGGGCGTTGTGGCAGGCACCTATAGTCCCAGCTACTTGGGAGGCTGAGGCAAGAGAAATGCTTGAACCCAAGAGTTTGAGGTTGATGTGATCTATGATGCCAGGGCACTCTACCAAGGGTAACAAAGTGACACTCTGTCTCAAAAAAAAAAAGACCAGCCTGAAGTGCTTGCTTGGGTAGCACCTATACCAAAATTGAAACAATAGAGAAGAGTAGCATGGCCCCTGTGCAAGGATGACAAACAAATTTTTGAAGTGTTCCATAATTTTATAAGCTTTAAGTAAGATGGAAATATGGCTGTCGAAAAATAAACATCAGTTAAAAAAAAAAAAAAGAAAAGACCAGCCTGAGAAATATTGAGACCCCAGTCTCTACTAAAACTAGAAAATTAGCCAGGTATTATGGCTGCTGGTGCTTATAGTCTCAGCTACTCTGGAGGCTGAGGCAAGAGGATTGCTTGAACCCAGAAGTTTGAGGTAGCTGTTAGTGATGCTGAAGCCATAGCACTGTAGCCTCACAGGAAGAGAATATGTCTGAAACAAAAACATCAAGATCTCTTTGACTTTCTGAGTATCTGAAATGTCTACAGGCAAAAATACTCCATTTATTTAATACATATTATTTAAAGCTTTCCTGTGACTATATAAAGTGTACGTTTACTGATAATCATTGTAGATAAATGAAGAATTCAGAACCTAACCACAAGCTCAAGATATGCTTCAACAAAAGGAAGAAAAATCCAAAGACCTTGGAACAGAGTACTGCTACTATTAAATCCAGGTAATGAAACTACACATAGACTTTACATCCTGTCAAAGAGAGTCCTGCAGTATAAAATTATTATTTAACATGGAAGGAAAATGTTCCTGTCCGGGTTCCCCAAACCCAGCTGACATGGTACAAAGTTCAACCCAGGCATGGTTGTAATTGAAAGCAAAAAATGAATGGAAACTGAAAAAAAAAAAAACCTGGAGCAGCATAGGCCTTGTGGATAGAGAGCAAAAGTAACCTAAACAAGTTTCAGTGTAACAAAGAGAAATTTTATTTAAAGAGAACAAAGAGAAAGTTTAGAGCACTTCCAAGGAGAGTTGAAAGTGGGTCCCTTTCATGGAGGAGAAAAGGTGAGAGAGACTGAGAGGCAAAGGCCTGCAAGGGTATAAATACTCTCTCCTCCTTAAGTTGGCCTCAAGATTTTTATTGGCCTCTCTGCACCTCCAAGCAGTATTGCCCTTTTTTATTGGTCATTGATGATCTCTTTCTATTGGTCATTGGTTATCTAGGTTACTTCATACCCACATTCTTATGGGCCCTCCAGACTTCTTGGTTCAGCAGGCCAGGCTTTCTTCCCACCCACCCCCCTTGAAGCCCCTTTCTTAGTGTCCCTTCTCAGTGACTATAGGCAGATTATTAGCAATTACACATTTTAGTTTAAATAATTCTACAGATACGATTTTCTCAAGTAGGTTATCATTTTCACATGTGGAAAATACTCAGGCAAAAGAAAAAAAAGAAAATACTCAGGCATTAGTTACTTAAACTACTTGGTGACAGAATATATTATGTAAGCAAAAATGTTGAGTAAATTTTCATAATGATTGAAAATTGGGTCTACACTATTTCCTTTCAAAAAGAAAATGTTCAATAATTTTAAAAATTCCAAAAGCTCATATATACTTTATATCTTAACTACAAATATTTAAAACCTAAAACTCTCCTTATCTACCTTATTATCTATTATGAACAACTTCCATATACACTTAAAGTCTTCCTTGGAGGGTCTCAACTTTAGAACTGATAACTCTCTTCAACTGTCTTGGGCCAGGCGCGGTGACTCACGCCTGTAATTCTAGCACTGTGGGAGGCCAAGGTGGGTGGATTACCTGAGATCACAGGTTTAAGACCAGCTTGAGCCAGACTGAGACCCCATCTCCACAACAGCTGGGCATTGTGGAGGGTGCCTGTAGGTGACAAAGACTCTGTCTCAAAAAAAAAAAAAAAAAAAAAAAAGACATTCTGTCTTGAAGGAATATGAAGAAAGTAATGATTAACTTATCAGGCTCGGCGCCTGTGGCTCAAACAGCTAAAGCGCCAGCCACATACACCTGAGCTGGTGGGTTCGAATTCAGCCTGAGCCCGCCAAAACATCAATGACGGCTGCAACCAAAAAATAGCCAGGCGGTGCGGTGGGCACCTGTAATCCCAGCTACTTGGGAGGTGAAGGCAGGAGACTCACTTGAGCCCAGAAGTTGAAGTTGAGCCCAGAAGTTGCTGTGAGCTGTGATGCCAGAGCACTCTACCCAGAGCGACAGCTTGAGGCTCTATCTCAAAAAAAAAAAAAAACTTTTTGTATTATGGATATTTATTAGGTCTCTGTTTCTTTTTTTTTGAGATAGAGCCTCAAGCTGTCGCCCTGGGTAGAGTGCTGTAGCATCACAGCTCACAGCAACCTCCAACTCCTGGGCTCAAGCGATTCTCCTGCCTCAGCCTCCCAAGTAGCTGGGACCACAGGCGCCTGCCACAACGCCCAGCTATTTTTTGGTTGCAGCCGTCATTGTTGTTTGGTGGGCCCAGGCTGCATTCGAACCTGCCACCTTAGGTGTATGTGGCTGGCGCCTTAGCCACTTGAGCCACAGGCACCAAGCCAGGTGTGTGTTTCTTTAAAGAGACAGAGTCTCACTTTGTCACCCTCAGTAGAGTGCCATGGCATCACAGCTCACAGCAACCTCCTGATCTTGGGCTTAGGCAATTCTCTTGCCTCAGTCTCCTGAGTAGCTGGGACTACAGTTGCCTGCCACAACGCCCAGCTATTTTTATGTTACAGTTTGGCCAGGGCCAGGTTCAAACCCGCCACCCTCGGTATATGCCACAGGTGACCATAAATTGATCTGTTTCCACTATTCTATTGACAAGTGAATCTTTCTAAAAGCAGAGTATGAACGTTTTAACTCAATAACTAAGAAAATGACATGAAGGTTATGTTAACCAGCTTGATAAGAGTATTACAAAATGTATATGAAAACAGCACACTGTACCCCATGATTGCATTAATGTACACAGTTATGCTATAAGAAATAAAAAAAAAAAGAGAGAAGTCATGTCAAAAGTCAGCAATATACTTCAAGTGACCCAATCTGGTGGCCATTTCCAGACTTCACTTTGCTTCAAACATATCTATAATATTTGACAATTTTTTTTGAGATAGAGTCTCACTCTGTCACCCTGGATAGAATACCATGGCATCATCATAGCTTATAGCAACCTCAAACTTTTGGGATCAAGCTATCTTCTTGCCTCAGTCTCCTAAGTAGCTGGGACTACAGGCATGTGCCACCACAGCTGGCTAGTTTTTCTATTTTTTTTTAAGTAGAGATGGGATCTTACTCTTGTTCAGGCTGGTCTTGCCTTGATAATTTCTTTTCTTTTTTTTTTTCTTGGGCCAGGGCTGGGTTTGAACCTGTCACCTCTGGTATATGGGGCTGGCACCCTACCCATTTGAACCACAGGTGCCACCCGACAATTTCTTTTCAATAAAGCTTTTTTCTTCTAGCATCCTGCTTTCCTTTTTACGCCTCTAAGAACTTGGCCAGTTTCCTTGCCTTTTTTAACCCCCAAATAGGATCATTTGCCAAGGTTCTTTCCTCAGCTTATGACAGATATATGCATTCATAAGGATATGATTTGCTATAGTAGAAAGGAAACTAATTATATGTGAGAAGAACTACATCCAAATCATATTTTAAACCATCTATGCTATATTTGATCAGTCAGTTAAATTTTCAGAATTTCTTTCCACATTTATAAGAACTAATATAAAACTATTTACATTACAGGGTTATACTGATAATTGAAAGTGAGGTAAAGAGTTGATAAGCATACATTACTGTGCAAGTAGATGTTCCTTATTAATGTTTAGTATTAAAAAACAGCCAGGTCACTAGTGCTATGAGACAGACTCATTGTACAGAGCTATTTGGTCCCCAAAGAGATCAAACTTAGGACCTTGATTTTAATTATCAATATTTGAACTAGCTAGTCTTAATAGGCCCAAGCCACATAGAATAATTCTTTTTTGAGTGTATATATCGTGAAATATAAATTTTTATTATTTTGGAGTGCTATTTCACAAGGCATTTCACAGGGCCTTTGATAAGGATGCCAACTTTCCTAGTGTAGAGAATTAGAAGTGGAGAGTTGGCTCGGCGCCTGTGGCTCAAGTGGCTAAGGCGCCAGCCACATACACCTAAGGTGGCAGGTTTGAATCCAGCCCAGGCTCGCCAAACAACAATGACGGCTGCAACCAAAAAATAGCCAGACCTGTGGTCCCAGCTACTTGGGAGGCTAAGGCCAGAGACTCACTTGAGCCCAGGAGTTGGAGGTTGCTGTGAGCTGTGATGCCACAGCATTCTACCCAGGGGGACAGCTTGAGGCTCTGTCTCAAAAAAAAAAGAAGTGTAGAGTTAAAATTGGTTAAACCTTTTGCGTGTACTATTACGTTCTTAATATATGCAAATTAAAAAGCAGTATATAATCTCTAAAAAACACAAGTATCTAGTGTTACATATTCTTGGTTGAATATTTTATCACAAGGATGTAAACCCTGGATTACTTATATTTCAGAAACATGGATCATGAAATCCAGGACCTCTTTCATTGCACCCAAAGACAAATGGATAGCCATCCTCATCACCATCTCTACCAGCACCACCTCTACCCAGAAGAGATTTTCTTCCTGCTCCAACTCTTTTACTCGTACTAAATGATAAACCATTGCCATCACTTTTGTTGGGGGAACAACCTACTCTAACTTAAGAAATGAGGCAGTAATAAATATCTACACCTGAATTTCACGGATTGCTTATGGAACTCTATGACTTGAGTCTCTAAGAAGAGAATTAATTGGTTCAAAGGCAGAAGTTTGACTAGAGGTTTTTGGTATCTTCTAATCATTGGTGTTCATTAATGTGTGAATAACTGCATATCTATGTGTAGATATGTATACGGCTTACATATACGTGTTGGAGAAAGTCACTGCAGATCCTTTTTCTTTCCATGGTGAGCTTACTATCTTATTTTTCGCTTTTAGTACAGAATATGAATATTAGAAACTCCATAAAGAATATGCAATTCATGTAGAAGGCAAAGGGAAAATCAATAAAGTGGTATAAGAATAATTATATTAGTTTCCTAAGGCTGCTGTAACAAATTGCTACAAACTGGGTGCTTATAACAACACAAATTTCTCACAGTTCTGGAGGGCAAAAGTTCAAAA